TTGTACCTACTGCACTTACCCCCACCTCTAACCATTCTGTTACGTAGGATTTCAAATCCCTCCGAAATACCCGCGAGCATCCAGACCCTGAAATTTCGTAATCAACAAAAAGCATGTACCTACATCATGAGGTGTATGGTTGATCGATACGAAGATAAAAGAATGAAAATTAGACCTTGTGTTCCCAGGATAGACTCATTGGAAATCAAGCATTTGGTGCATGGACAGGGGGTTAGGGTTACAAGCAGGGTTCCTCAATCGAGGGGAAAGGTGCAAAGGGATTTTTGGCTCCGAAACTCCAGTGCCAGCGTACCTACAAATCCATGTCTAATTTTGGGGCGTTAGTTGGTGAAGGTAACATCTCCAGCTCGTTACCTGTATATAGTTAGCATAACATCGAGTTTCGACTCTTCTAGTATGAAACATCAAAAAGCAGGTCGTCTGTGGAGCGGTTAACACTCCATAACTTAGCATGAGCGCAAGTACTATAGATCGTTGAGTCTTGTTGACTTTCCTGCTGGCTCTTCGCTATGTCAATGATACTCATGGCAATAAAGATATATGTATGAAAACGCCCATGAATTTGAAACCTGATCAATAATCGTCAAGTTGGCAAGTTGGCAAGTTGGCTCAAGGTTTATGTTCCTTCATAGCGCATAGCTTTATCCTCGCATAAAGCTGAGAGAGGACAAGTGTCTGAGCTGATATAGTCTAGAGTTTAGAAGTCCTAGTCTGACCCAAATACCATTCTATAAACGACCGCGTGGATAGCGCTACCCATTGATGGAGAAATATTAGAAAGCTCATGACATTTCTTAGCCATAAGTGCTCATATATCTCGCCTGTCATAGCTAAAAAAAAAACACGTTCTTCTCAGATCTTTCTCCTGGTACTAGTTAACTCCGTATGTGTGGAGATTTGAGACATCGTTATCTAGTAAATTTTACTGTGCTAATATATTATAACTATTATCCAGCTAGGATATAACTAGAAATAAATATCTTTCAGCTAGCAACCTCGGGATAAATACTGAGAAACATACTGTAGGTTGCACTATCCACGACCGTTTGTGGATAGAAGATGCCCATGTTTAGGCCACAATGCGTCCAGGAATTCTTCCACCACCGAGTCATATTTTCGACTCCGGCACACTTCAGGACGGACAGATTGATGCATACGTCAAAATGTACATATCATATTAGGAAAGCTCCATGACTTAGGTCACCAATGTCTGTTCTTTATATTTTCATCTTATCGTTGGATTTACCAATTAGTGATGGGCACGAGCTTTGAGCTCGAGCTTTAGGTTCGAACAGGTCGAGCTCTCTTAGTGACGAGCCCGAGCCAACTCGAGCCCATATTCCAAAAAGCTCGAGCCTAGCGAAACATTAGTAATGGTTCGAGACAGCCAGAGCTTGGTGATTTATATGAGATTTTTTTCCCTAATATTCATCCTGAATACGAACTCTATATGCCGACTTACTGTAAGGTCCATTTTTAGGTATAAACATGAGAGCTCGAGCCTGAGCTCGAGCCTAGCTCCAGGGCTCGAACACCTCGAGCCTTTGTCTCCACAATCCGAGCCAGCTCGAGCCCTACCCCGAGCTCGTCTCGAGCCGGCTCGTGCCCATCACTATTACCAATCCATCCTTCTTTACTTGATGCAGCTCCGATAACTTATGTTGTCTATGTGATCTAGACACGGATCCAACGTACATATAGGTTTCTCTGTTTCACGTGATCGGCAAGATATATACAAGTATATACATGAATACATGTATATAATATACGGATACATGTAGTTGGAGTTGTATACGTATGTATCTGTATATTTCTCATCGTAGAATTACCACGGCTGAGATCAAGGCTATATAGACATATATCAGCTACTTTCCAGATAGAGGTAATAAAGGCAGTTATTACATTAGTTAGCCGTAGTGTAGTGCAGGTCTGTATAATGTATGATGTAGCTGCGTGTAAATACAAGTTGGACTTGAAGCTTAGTGCTATAATATACTCTGTCATGGCGTAGACTTCGCACTGCGCAACTTACCCGGCAAACTAAACAACGAATCTACAAATACATCTTAAATCTAGCTGCGTCTACTACCCCTCGTTTTTAGAGAACTTTAATAATACCACCTCCATGGTTGTATTGATCAGATCAACAGAATCTCGACATATGGACACAGGATTGCGTTACTACCTCTTTCAAAAAGTTTAGGATGACTTGTGACGAGTGATATCTCATGAAACACCTAGGTATAGCCATCGGGTTTGGATTACGGATACCTCCACCGCGTACCCACTCAAATGGATCGCGGTATATCTGGCGCGGATACGATAATGCGGGGTTGTTTGAAGCTAACGATAAATATACCAGATAGGTGCCTAGATTGCGGTGTAGAGCCCAATATCTATTCCGCACACTACACTACAGTTCCTAGCGGGCGCATCTGCGAGGGCTGCGCTGCACAAGAATACAGATCGTGGAATCTCTGCTTTGGACCTCGTTCGGTTGGAGAAGAAGGATAGTACAGATATAGTTCTTTCAAGAGTGCTGCTCTATGACTCGGTTTCGGGATCTATTAAGTCGTCCTCCTCGGGATTACGTAAAATTAGTACAGTGTCATAATTATGTACTTCATCGAGACAGATATGTTTTGCCTTCATCCTCTACATCAGCTATCGCCCTAATCTTTAGCCTGGAACTCCATCAACAGTCACATGCATAACATAAACTTCTGTACGCATCCTCTTCGGCGGGGACCTCCCTAAAACTCCAGAGTCATCCATTGATTAGTAAGCCTTGATCTCTCAACTCAGGTAAAACCATGAAGCTATCTAGAACTCACGATTTAGGGTACATTTCGAGAACCATCAAAACGGCATCTTCTTAGCCTAAACTCTGTTCCAACCGTAACTCCATTTTGAAAAGATTCTTTGCCTTTGGCGTGGGAGTTTCAAATATCAAAAAAACTCTGTTTTCCTCTCGAAACAAGTTTTTTAAAAAGGCAATTGCAACCCAAGCCTGATTCATTGCAAGGCGAGCTTGGTTTAGGGCATGTTCGGGTGTTTTGGGGCGGCCCGAAACGGAGTTATTGATGCCTAAAACTAAGTTCTAGCAATAATCTCATTCTGAGAAAAGGAATTGCACCATTTTGTGCCTATAAATTAAAGTTAATCCTTGAAAATAGAGTTTTCAACTTTAAAACTCCAACTCGTTGATAAAAATCCTAGCTCTCAACTCATGGTACGACGCAATACCCATAGTATATGGCCATCAACATCACAACAATCCTAAAAGGTGAATCACCTTAAAACTCCAGTTTGAAATAGGTATCCCTTCTAACGGAGTTCTAACAAAAGGGCGCTCTCTATAGGGAATTGCTCCCAAACGCGCTCTTACTTACTATTACCAGTCATCGACAAGAATGACCAGCGCCAGGTTTCCTAAGTTTCGATAGTCTTCTGTATTTTAGCTATGCTTCTATACAAATACTTCCCTCTGTACTAGATCCTTTAGACTGTCAAATACCAACCACCGATAAAAGGGTCAGCACAGTTTGGCAACGGTTTAAGTGCGAGGATATCAGACCTTGGGCCGCTCCTTATCATTGAGGGGTCTCTCTAGGCAGCTTTGTATCAATTCCACGGGGCGCGGGCTTAGGCATACGCAAAGGTACTAATAATAAAGCAGCCCTGTCACATGCACGTAACGTTCCCAATTAACACTGGTGAATCTAGTTGATTTTTACTAACTAGTTAAATAGATTTGCCCATCCGGGCACCTGAAACCCCACCGCATAGCGCTACAAATGAGAAATAGGCATCTTTAGATCGGGAAGAATTGCATAGGGCTTGGGCTATCCTTGGACCATCAATCTCGTTCAATCATCGCCATAACCGTATTGAAGTTTGATATAAAAGTCTAGAGGACATGGTGATTTTTTCACAAATAGTTCTCATGATATATAGAGAAAGCCGTAGAGAGCTGTTCAACCTCTCGGGTCCGGAATAATAACCCCATATCTGTCTGCGCCATATCATAGTGGCCTAAGCTACATAGCTTTCCAAGACAGACCTCGAAAGTTAGTAGAGCCAAAAACAACACAGCTTATAACAAGGTGTATTTAGAAGTGAAAATGGACGTTTTTCTTCTTATAATTACTAATTACCGTGGGTCTATAGTAACAACTTGAACCTTTAACGGCTCCGGAACTTCCCGAACTTTGAGGCCTTTGAAGCTGAGAATACATACTACCATCACAAAGGGAACAGTATACGGCTATCTTTCGACCGTGTTTTAAGCCCTAGGCCTCCGGGTACGAACTTGCCCTTTATAAAATAAACGGATAACCCGGCTGTAGCGTAAAAGATAACTTGCTTCCCCTCTTATAGCCAAGATTCTTGAAGTTGCTAACTATTTCCAATCAGTCATTTAAGACCTACTTAGATACACAGACTCCTTGGCCGCTCCTAAAGCGTCATCACTCCTTGTGTCGTCCTAGGAGGCAGGATAGTTTAGGATTGTGAACCAAGCAGCAAATATCACACGAATCGAGTTCAAAATAAACTGAAAGAAAGGATATATCCGGGGTAGTGTAGACACACACATACAGTCACGTATTAGGGCTCTCTAAATCGCAAATTTCCCGGAAATAAAATCACGCTATCTAAACGTATCGTCGCCACTGCCCGCCTCCCCCGTCCTTAATTAAAGAAAGCTTTAGAGGGAAGCTAAAATAAATCAAACTGGGGGATGCTCTGGATCTGTGCGGGATCGAGAAAAGCGGAGGCAGAAACGCAAGAAATGGACTTGCAATTCCCTTCATCCCCTCATGATTTGCGATATCGTGCACGATATGGATATAAAGTCAATTGCACCATCATAATTACACATTCAATTACTCACGTGTGGCGTGAAACTTAAAGATAAAAGGAGCTGCTCTCCATACGACGATACCTTCGTTTGTCAAATTTTATGGAAAGAAACTAGCATGCGATTGTGTCGAATTTTCTCATGCTTAGCCCTCACTGCAGGTGCTTTAGCAGACAGATCCCCGTACCCACCGGGATCAGGACCTATATCTAGTCACCGAAAAGCGCCAACTGATAACTCAGACAATAGTCTTCCTCTCGATCTTGGTTCTTCTCCCTTGGTAATCATTGAACAAGATGAGTTCGATGATTACAGTGAACCAAGGAAGGACATTTACATCTCCCCAAAGCCGCTTCTTGTACCTCAAGACAAACTTCCAAAGCCCTATTCTGATAGGGTCGAGATCGAGAACATCGAGATTATCGAAAAGGATGATTTCGAGAGGGGAAATATCGAGGAGGTCGATATTGAGGTAGTAGATATTGGGGGTTTCTCTCCCGAATATGGGGTGTACCCTCCTCCCCCTCCGCATCCACACTTTGCTCACCCTGAGTACGAAGAGTTTAACGCTCCTCCTCCTCTTTTTTTCCCTCACCCCGAAGAGTTTCAAGGAACTCCTCCTCCTTTCCCTCCTTACGGTCCCCCTCCTCCAGAATTTTATGGATTACCTCCACCACCTGACTTTTATGAGGAACAACCATATCTTATGGGCCCTCCACCTATTCCCATGATGATGAGTCCTCCTCTACCTCAAATTCCGCCGAAGAAGGCAGAAAAATCCAAGGGAGGAAATGTTTACGATAAAAACTCCAACGTGGGCAACAATGTGAAGGAGGCCTCGGCAGTCAACAAGGCAAAAGGAAATAACTTTGCTATTCCCGGCCAATCTACGGCCGCTCTTGACAATTCAAATCTCAACCAAGATTTTGCAGTAGCAAAGTCTGTGGAGAAGAACATCAACATCGATGTGAACGCTGCCGAAGGGTCCACGGAGTCTCCCCAGACTCAGATACAGACCCAGTTCCCCGGCGGAGAGGTTGGTCCTCTTCAGCAAGGACAGACCTTTCTACCAGGTGGTGTTATGCCTATTGGTATGACTGATATCGTATTCCCAGATATCATCATCACAAACGCCAACGACATCAACAACGCCAACGAGAATCAGAACCAGGTTGCCGCAAACAACGAGAACGCTAATAACAATCCCAATGCTCTCGGAAATGAAAACTCGGCCGCAAGCTTCCAGGAGTTCTCTGAGCAGAATTACGCCGAAAATAACTTCCATTTTAATGAGGAGAAGAACTTCTTTTACATTAATGCTATTGGTGAGAGCGTTCCTGTGCAGGTTGAGGTTCCAGTAGAGGTTCCTGTAACGAAGGTTATTCCCATTACGGAGACAATCCAGGTTAGGTTCCTCAATTTTCCTGCTTTGAATTCATTCTAACAACTTACAACTCTTAGATAGGTCCCAGAGGTTATAACACCTTGTGTGACCTGCCCTCCTCAGACTGAATATATTCCGTATACTCAGGTCGTTTCATACGAGACCGTCGTTGAGCAGATTCAGCTTCCTGGCCAGACTATCATTGAGCAGATCCAGCTTCCTGGCCAGACTATCATTGAGCAGATCCAGCTTCCAGGAGAGACTGTTATCGAGAAGATCCAACTCCCAGGAAAGACGGTCTATGAGCAGCTCCCTGGCGAGACTGTCATTGAGCAGATCGTCCTCCCAGGAGAAACAATTTTCCAGATTGTCGAGGTGCCCGTTCCGGTCACCGTTCAAGTGACAAAGACTCTTCCGGCTAAAACAATTATTGAAAAAGAAAGTGTAATTATCGAAAACGAAATTCTAGTCACGATTCCTGCCAAGACCATCATTCAACAGGAAAGCGTTGTCGTTACAAATGAGGTGCTTGTTACACAGGCCCCCAGGACAATCCTCGAAGAAATTTACGTTTCAGAGCAAATCAGGGTCCCTTATACTGTCACCCAGCAAGAACAAATCTATGTCTCGGAGCAGATTCGGGTTCCCGTCACCGTCGTTCAACAGGAGCAAATCTACGTTTCCGAGCAGGTTAGGGTGCCCGTCACTATCACTCAACAGGAGCAAATCTATGTTTCTGAACAAGTCAGAGTGCCGGTCACGATCAAGGAAGAGGAACTTATTTATATCAGCCAGGAAGTAGAGGTCACCAAGTTTGTCACCGTCCCTGGAATCGCCACTCCCGTCCCTACCACTGTTACTGAGGAAGTAATTCTCCCTGCTCAAGTCATCACCACTTTCCTGCCTGGTGTTCCCACTCCAGTCGTTCAAACCGTCCAAGTTACCGAGGCTGTAACTGTTCTAGAGAAGGAAGAGGTCTATATCTCCGAGCAGGTTCGCGTGCCAGTTACTGTCAAGGAGGAGGATGTTATATATGTTACTCAGAACGTCATCGTCACCGAGGTCGTCTCAGTCGCTGGTATCCCGACTCCAGTCCTCACCACTGTTACTGAGGAGGTCGTCGTTCCAGCGCAGGTCATCACTACATACCTTCCTGGCGTGGCTACCCCTGTCGTCCAGACTGTTCAGGTTGTTGATGAGGTCCAGGTTCCTGTTCCTGTCACAGTTAAGGAGCAGGTCTACGTCTCGGAGCAAGTACCAGTTACCGTATCAGTAGAGGAATTAGTTTATATCACCAAAGAAAACATCGTCACCGAATTTGTTTCTCAACCAGGCTTCGCCACTCCAGTCCCCACTACTATCTATGAAGAGATCCGGGTTCCAGCTGAAGTTGTCCAGGAGGTCATTACTACATATCTCCCTGGAGTCGAAACACCAGTTCTCCAGACAGTTTTTATTACTCAGGATATCGAGTTTCCTACCGCACCCCCAGCCACTGTTGTCGTCACCGAGAATAATGTCGTCCAGACCTTCGTCACCTCACCACCAATCGTCATCACTGAAGCTCCCTTGTTTGTCACATTACCAGCAGAGACAGTGGTTGTTCCTGGAGAGGTTTACACAACCGCTGTTTGTGAATCATGCCCTATTGTAACTGTCACAGCGCCTGCGGAAACTTTCGTACAGCCCCCGGTAGTCGTCACCCAGCCAGGTCAGGCAGTTACAATCCCTGGAGCAATTCAGGTTATTACAGAAGTTCAGGAGGTATCAGTTGGATATCCTATCGCTGGTCCCACCGTTCAGCTTCCTGGTGAAGTGGTTCAGGTACCTGGTCCTGCTGTTCAAGTCCCCGGCCCCACCGTTCAGCTCCCTGGCGAAGTTGTTCAGGTCCCCGGCCCGACCGTTCAGCTTCCTGGTCAAGTCACCGAGGTCGGATATCCCGTCCCAGGCCCGACCGTTCAGCTCCCTGGCGAAGTTGTTCAGGTCCCCGGCCCGACCGTTCAGCTTCCTGGTCAAGTCACCGAGGTCGGATATCCCGTCCCAGGCCCGACCGTCCGGCTTCCTGGCGAAGTTGTTCAGGTCCCCGGCCCCACTGTTCAGCTTCCTGGTGAAGTTGTTCAGGTACCTGGTCCTGCTGTCCAAGTCCCCGGCCCCACCGTTCAGCTTCCTGGTGAAGTGGTTCAGGTACCCGGTCCTGCTGTCCAAGTCCCCGGCCCCACCGTTCAGCTCCCTGGCGAAGTTGTTCAGGTCCCCGGCCCGACCGTTCAGCTTCCTGGTCAAGTCACCGAGGTCGGATATCCCGTCCCAGGCCCGACCGTCCGGCTTCCTGGCGAAGTTGTTCAGGTCCCTGGCCCCACTGTTCAGCTTCCTGGTGAAGTTGTTCAGGTACCTGGTCCTGCTGTCCAAGTCCCCGGCCCCACCGTTCAGCTCCCTGGCGAAGTTGTTCAGGTACCCGGTCCTGCTGTCCAAGTCCCCGGCCCCACCGTTCAGCTCCCTGGCGAAGTTGTTCAGGTCCCCGGCCCGACCGTTCAGCTTCCTGGTCAAGTCACCGAGGTCGGATATCCCGTCCCAGGCCCAACCGTCCGGCTTCCTGGCGAAGTTGTTCAGGTCCCCGGCCCCACTGTTCAGCTTCCTGGTGAAGTTGTTCAGGTACCTGGTCCTGCTGTCCAAGTCCCAGGCCCTACCGTTCAGCTTCCTGGTGAAGTTGTTCAGGTCCCCGGTCCTGCTATCCAAATCCCTGGTCCTACTGTCCAAGTCCCAGGTCCTTCTGTACAAGTACCCGGCCCAGCCTTCCAGCTTCCTGGTGAAGTTATTCGGGTCCCCGGAGGTGCCGGTAATTCTACTGAAAACAATGGTACATGAATCCTCCTCCCATAGGTCAATGATAAATTTCTAACTTGGTAGTTTTAACCCCTTCGCCTGCGCTGGCACCTTCTCCAGAACAACCTGGCCCTGTCGCCCAAGCACCACAACCACCGTTCGAGCTCTCAGGCCCTGCGCCTGTCGCCAAGCCTCAAGTTGAAGGACCATACTGTACCGACTGCTTCAACACTGAGAATGAATATGAGTTTGATGTGGAGCTACCGTCTTCCTTCGAAGCTGCCCCTGAGGCACCTTCACAAGGAACTTCTCAATCATCTCCAGGTTCTCAGGCTTCTAGTCCATCTTTGGGATCCGCTAGATCTTCTAGTTCGCCAGTTTCTTCACCAGCTCCAGGCGCAGAGCCTGCACCACCGGTAGGAGCTGGTTCAGCTCCTTCTTCTGGCTCTGCCCCAGCTTCTGGCTCCGCTCCAGCTTCTGGCTCCGCTCCAGCATCCGGCTCTGCCCCGGTTTCCGGCTCCGTTCCCGCGTCTGGCTCTGCCCCAGCATCTGGCTCTGTCCCAGTGTCAGGTTCCGCTCCAGTATCTAGCCCTGCTTCAGAATCCGGATCTACACAAGGATCAGGATCTTCTCCGTCATCAGGATCTTCGGGATCCGCACCCGCCGGACCAGTTACTCCTGGCTCAGGACCTCTAGGCTCAGGACCTGTACCTGCCTCTGGACCAGGCGCAAGCCCAGGATCTGTCCCATCATCAAGAAACGCTACAGCTATACCTGTACTTGAAGTTCCCTCAACTTCAGGAGCCGCACCTGGTTCTGGGTCTGTCCCACAACCTGGATCCGCACCCGGCGTAGGATCTGCACCCGCCTCTGGCTCCGCACCCGCCTCTGGTTCCGCGCCTGGCTCTGGTTCCGCACCTGGTTCTGGTTCTGGTTCTGGTTCTGGTTCTGGTTCTGGTTCTGGTTCTGGTTCTGGTTCTGGTTCTGGTTCTGGTTCTGGTTCTGGTTCCGCACCCGCCTCTGGTCCCGCGCCTGCTTCTGGTTCCGCACCCGCCTCTGGTCCCGCACCAGGCTCTGGTTCCGCACCAGGCTCTGGTTCCGCACCAGGCTCTGGTTCCGCACCAGGCTCTGGTTCCGCACCAGGCTCTGGTTCCGCACCAGGCTCTGGTTCCCCCTCTGGTTCCGCACCAGGCTCTGGTTCCGCACCAGGCTCTGGTTCCGCACCAGGCTCTGGTTCCGCACCAGGCTCTGGTTCCGCACCAGGCTCTGGTTCCGCACCTGGCTCTGGTTCCGCCTCTGGTTCCGCGCCTGCTTCTGGTTCCGCACCCGTCTCTGGTTCCGCCCCCGCATCTGGTTCCGCACCAGGCTCTGGTTCTGGTACTGGTTCTGCACCTGCCTCTGGTTCCGCACCCGTCTCTGGTTCCGCCCCCGCATCTGGTTCCGCACCAGGCTCTGGTTCTGGTACTGGTTCTGCACCTGCCTCTGGTTCCGCACCCGTCTCTGGTTCCGCCCCCGCATCTGGTTCCGCACCAGGCTCTGGTTCTGGTACTGGTTCTGCACCCGCCTCTGGTTCCGCACCTGGTTCTGGTTCTGGTTCCGCACCCGCCTCTGGTTCCGCACCTGGCTCTGGTTCCGCACCAGGCTCTGGTTCTGGTTCTGGTTCTGCACCCGCCTCTGGTTCCGCACCTGGTTCTGGTTCTGGTTCCGCACCCGCCTCTGGTTCCGCGCCTGCTTCTGGTTCCGCACCTGGCTATGGTTCCGCACCTGGCTCAGGCTCTGTATCTGCCTCAGGGCCCGCTCCAGTAGTCGCTGCTCAAGGAGGACAAGTCCCACCATCTCCTGAGGAGCCCGAGCAGTTCGAGGGTGCGGCCTCCCGCACTCGTACCGGCGTATTTGCCATCGCTATCGCACTCGGTAGCATGGCAATCGTTCTGTGAGACCTTTAAATACCAAAAAGCGATTACGGGTGACGGATTACGGATTAACGGATTAATGAACTATGGAATTATGACTGAAACGAATAAGGATGCCGAACTTCCCTTTTTTCTTCCTTTGACCTTTTATCCCTTTTAGCTCTTTCATGGCTTTTTTTCATTCTACGTTGCGTACAACATGTATGTATGTATGCAGCTGGAAAAGAGGACAGGCCGTGAAAGAAGGAAAGTCTAAGAGGGTGCGGGTAGGTAGTTGCAACATTTTTTATTGTAGCTAGACTGAAGCAAAAAGAGAAAGCAAAAAAGAGAGAGAGAAACAGAAATAAAAATTTGAAAATACAATAGATCTTTTTTTTTTTTTTTTTTTTTTGAAAAATCTCCTAGCTATAGCTTCTCCCTATGAGATCACGTCCCCCAGGATGTCCATACAATATACAGAGTTCTAGATCGATACATGTATAACATAAGCATGGCTGCCTACATGTACCTTTAGGGCAGGCGAGAGTACTACACAAGTGCTCGGAAGTAATCCTACTTCAACGCCCCCATAGAGTGCTGTCTACCGTATACATATAGCCGAGGACTGGATTTGATTGCTTCGCCAAGTGTACCCGAGGCCCATATGTGCTCATCTGAGCACTCGTAATCTTTAATACCCAGGTAACGCTCCGAGTGTAGTGGTAGTGGTAAGCTTCGACCAGCAAGGAAGGACAAATGCCAAGACCGAGTGATACATCATGAGGCATGATTATGCTGTGGGCAGCTTCACAGGGTATCACTCGGTGGATGGGCATGGGCATGGGCGCGTTGGTGTCAATGATCGCGGTTGTCAGGCAAGTAAGAAAGCGGGAAACCAAATAAGCGGGAAAGCAAGCAAGTCAGGGAAGGGCCGAGAAGAAAATATCTACATTTAAAATCTATATACAACGTCTATCTACCTGCCTACGAAGTAGCTGCTTGTGCCTGCGCCCCCCTCCTGATAACCCTCTCACACTTCTCCCTCAACACCTTCCATTCGCCTTTCTCCCCTTTCCTCCCCTCCCTCTTCCCCTCCCTTGCATCCTTCTCCCCCTTCCCCTCCACCCCCTCCACCCCCTCCGCTTCAACCCCCTCCACCAAATCCACCAACGTTATCAACCCCCTCGCCATCCCCACCCCCACCCCCACCGGCGGCACCTCCCTCCCCATCCCCCTCACCAGCCCCCTCCCCGCCACAACCCCCTCCTTCTGCACCCCCGCCATCACCACCAGCCCCACAACCAGCCGATACAACCCCTCATCCCTCCTCACCCCCAGCAGCGCCATCCGGCCCCACGCATTCCAGAACGCCCGCCACGCCCCACACATCGCATACGTGGTCAGCAGCGTCTCGTGCCACTCCCTCACCGTATACCCATGCCTGCCCGCGCGCACCGCCGCATCAAGAGCATGCACCCGCGCATCAAGCCGGTACCGGCCCATGCGCAGCTTGCCCGCGCGCTTCCGCACCGCGTGCGTGGGCGTCTCGATGGCCGGGTCGCACACCGTGAGCGCCAGGTCATGCACGAGCGGCATCGCGGGCGGCGCGAGCGCGCGCAGCCGGCACAGCGCGTACTCGGGGGCTGTGGTGTCGGCGGTGGGATGGTGCGCGCGGAGCTGCGCGGTCAGCGCGTCGAGGGCGGTGAGGTCTGCGTCGGCGCCGATGTCGTGGGCGCGCAGCGTGGGCGAGGTGGAGAGCGCGCGCACGGCGAGGTAGTATAGCTCGTGCGGCGGGGTCATGTGCTGTGCGAGGTTCGCCAGGAAGTCGGTGATGCACTGCGCGGGGTAGGCCGCGGGCGCGATGCGGTGCGCCTCGATGAGCAGCTCCAGGCGCAGCTGGGTTGCGGCGGGGGAGGAGGAGGCGTGCGGCGGCGGCGGCGGCGGGAGGTTGGCGTGGAAGCTGCGCAGGAACTCGGTGGAGGAGGTGTCGGCGGGGCCGGTGCCGAGGAGCGTGCAGGGCCCCGTGCGCGAGCCGGCGGCTTTGCGGCCGGGGAACTGCGCGCGCAGCTGGTTGATCTGCGCGCGCGCGATGAGCGTGGCCACGGCGGGGTGCGCGGCGGGCGTGTAGGTCGGCGGCAGCTGCTTGGTCAGGTGCCAGGGCTTGCCTTGCGCGACGGAGCGCGGGACCTCGATGCCCTTGAAGGCGATGTTGTCGATGAGGTAGGTGGACCGCGGGTTGGCCGGGTCTGTGGGCGTGAGCGTGGGCGTGGGCGTGGGCGTGGGCGTGGGCGTGAGCGTGAGCGTGCGGCGGGGCGCGGAGGTGTGGAGGGCCCGGCTGTGCGGGGGGCGGGTGCGGGCGCGGGCGCGGGCGGGGGTGAAGTCGGAGCCAGTGGAGAGCCCGGCGCCCAGGCGGATCAGCGGGACGCGGGGGTTGTATCTGATCTCCGCATCCTCCTCCTCCTCCTCCTCCTCCTCCTCTCGCTCCAACTCCCTCTTCTTCCGCTCGTTATACGCCTCGTCCGCATCCGTCGCCCGGGGGCTTCTCGTGATTGCATTCACACCCAAATACTTCCCCCACAGCCCCTCAAGGTCAATCTCGCCGCGCCGGTGCTGCGTAAACAGCTGCACCACCAGCCCCTGGGCGCCCGCATTGACGCAGATCCAGCCCACGCCCTCCTCCTGCCCCGTCTGCGCGTTGACCAGCTTGCCCTTCTTCTTGAGGCGGCGGTTCTTGATCTTGAGCTCGCCGCGGCCGAGAAGCCCGTCGGCGTCGGGGCGCATCCTCCACTCGGACCGCAGCCACCGGCACAGCTTGTCGGCGGAGGTGTGCAGGTGCCGCTCGGAGCGCGCGTTGCCGAGCACCATGATGGTGTCGGGCCCGATGGCCGGCGGCGGGTCCATGGTGCGCAGGTCCATGATGGCGAGGTCGCCGATGCCGAGCTCTGCGCTGATGTGCGCGAGCAGCGGTTCCAGGGCTGTCGGCGGCGTGGGCGGGAGGGCGGGGAGGGCCTGGCGCTCGGCGAGCGGGTGGCTGGCGGGGCGCGGGGTCTCGACGCGCAGGAACCAGGGGACGGCTTGGCCTTGGGCCTGCGGGCTTGATGCCGCAGCACCCGGGGCCGCATCGTCTCCTTCCACCACCACCGCGCCTTCCTCCTCTCGCACTGCCGTCTCCTCAGCTGCGGTGCCAGTCTCGTCCTCCTGTTTCTGCTCCTTGCGGACGGTCCGGCGCTCGATCGTTACATTGTGGACCACGGACTCTGTCACGGCGCCAATCACCTCTCCCGCCCCTTTCCCGGCACCTTTCCCGCCCTCGGGCCCGGTCTCGGCCTCGGCCTCAAACAGCTCCGTGACGGTCTCAGTCACCGACTCGAACGCCTCCTCGATGATCTCGTCCACCGGCGGCGGTGGTGCAGCCCTGACAGCGGCGGCGTAATGGAACCCCCGTGCTGTCCCTAGCAGCCCCGCGTGTCCGAGTCTCGCAGTGGCAGCATTCGCGGAGGTGAGGGCCCGCGGCGGGACGGGCAGGCGCACGCCCGCACCGCAGGCCGAGAAGAGCGTGTTGAGCAGGGTGACGGAGCAGGTGTTGCAGCGTGTGATGCGCCGTGCTGCGAGCATGTCTGCGGTGGTGAATTGTTGGTTGTGGTGATGTTTGTATACTGTGCGGGTCCGCGATATCGGCCCCGAAAAGACAAGACGAAGTTGAGTTTTCGAGGTTGTCGGCACCCGGCGGCAGGGATGCGAGGCGCCGGGGCTTGGCTGCAGTAGTGCGGGGCTGCCAAGAGACTGCGGGGCGCGAGAGCTTCTGTTCTGCTCTGCTCTGCTCTTGGGTATTATCTACATGCTTGGTATCTACATGCTTCATGGATTGGCAGTCAACTGCTCTTCTCATCTACTACGACAGCTATCTCCGACTGGGACCCTTGACTTCAGCTGCTATCGACCCACGGCTGCCGGGGTCTAGACACCTCCATACTGATAGGCCCTCCTGCAGATAAAATCTTTTCCATCCCCCCCCCCCCCCCAATCTAGGGACCCTGAGTGGATCCTTGCCTACATCATGTAGCCCGGAAGATCAGAAATTTTCAACCGGGCTAGCATGGAAGGCGGTGGTGGAACATCTCTAATAAGAACCCCGCGAGTCTCCCGCTTGTTCCTGTTTGCTTGCATCTATCTGCATCTCTCACTCAGTCTCTCGCTGCTGCTGTGTGCTGTCTGTGCTGTGGTTGTGAGCTCTTTGCACTCGCTGTATCCGTGGCTTTAATTCTGCACTCGCGCTCTCTGATCGGAGCTCTCGTGGCTATTTAACCTGAACCTTCACTTGAAGAAACTGGTATTCCCATTCCCAGTCCCAGTCCCAGTCCCTCGCTATCACCACTATCATTACCCCCATTGCCCCAATTCCCCCCATTACCCCATCATTACCCCCGCAATGTCCTCCCCCACCCCCACCCCCACCCCCGAAGACCTCCTCCGCCAATTCAAGTTCTCCTTCCTCATCAACCAAGGTACGCCGCACCCCTACCTGCGCCCCGCGCACCTCCCCTCCCCACCATCACTAACCCCCTCCCCCCCGCCAGACACACGCACCAAGTCCGTCAACCTGCTCGGCACCATCGCCGCCGCGCCCGCCATCCTCATCGCCGAGAAGACCGCATTCGACATCAGCGCCTTCAACCTCTCGCACTTCCCCGCGCCCGCCCTCCTCCCCGCCATCGCGCTCGTCGAGAAGAACGACATCTACCACTGGTTCCTGGCGTCCACGGCCTCCGCCGTGCGCAGCGCCGACGCGCTCGCCCAGGGCGGCGCGGACGTCAAGATCACGCTCATCTGGCCGGCGACGGAGGCGCATGTGCGCAAGTATAGCAAGCAGAATGTGCGCATGGTCGAGGAGACGGCCGAGGTGTATAGGGAGTGTGTGTGGCCGTATGTGCAGGCCAAGAGGGAGGGGGGGCGGTTGGGGTGGGTGTATAATATACTGGAGGGCCGCGCGGAGGCGGAGAGTGTTATTGTGAAGGATGAGGATCCGCTGGAGGGGTTTGTGCTGTTGCCGGATTTGTAAGTGTTCTCTGTCTTGTGGGTTTTTTTTTGGGGGGGGGTGCTGATTTGGATGTGGTGTAGGAAGTGGGACCGAAAGACGATGGCAAGCCTGTATACCATGGCGCTGGTCCAGCGCCGCGATATCACGTCGCTGCGCGACCTGAAGAAGCGCGACGTGCCCTGGCTCAAGCGCCTGCAGGCCAACATCATCAAGGGCGTCTGCGCAAAGTACCCCAGCGTCGAGCCCGACCAGCTCAAGCTGTACATCCACTGTAAGCTCCGCTCTTCCCCCTCTCTATCATAGCTACTAACAGGGTACAGACCAACCCTCCTACTACCACTTCCACATCCACGCCGTGTCGGTGACGCACGACGGCGGGATGGGGCAGGCGGCGGGGCGCGCGCTGCTGCTGGCCAATGTGATTAGCCAGTTGGAGTGGATGGGCGGCGGCGAGGACGCGGGCTTTGCGGATGTGACGTTGACGTACTTTGTGGGCGAGGAGAGCGAGCTGTGGCAGGGCGTGTTTGAGGGGTCGAGGGAGAAGAGGGCCGCAGGAGCGGTAGAGGCGGGGGCTGGGGTGGTGGAGGATGGGGTTGTGTAATGCGGCCTAGCTAACCACTGCGCTTCGCCTTTTTTTGCTCTCTCTGCTGCTTTTTGTACGCTCTGGTTTTTGTGCTGCGCTTGCTCTTGCTCTTGCTCTTGGGCTTGTAGGGTTCTTGGGTGGGTTGGGTCTTGGGGTGGGTTTTTATGGAGTTTTTATACTTTCTTTTTTTGTATTGTGGGTTGTGGGTTGCGTGGGATGGGAATATATACACTCTTTAATTGGCGGTTTTATGTCTGTTTACGGTTGTGTTGGGTGCGAGTGATGGCTTGTGAGTGAGTGGGTGTGATGAGTGATACATCATGAGCCACGAGTGAGTGAGTGAGTGATATGTGATGAGCCATGATTATGAGTGATACTTGATGAGCCACGCGAAATGTTACCTGCTCTGGCGGTTTTGCGTTCGGTTTGGGGTAGAGGGGGGGGGGGGGATGAGTTGGGGTAAGAAGTGCGTCATAGCGCTTCTCGACGGCTAGGAGATCTTCGAAACGGTCAAAATAATGTCTGTGGTATGCATATATAGCGAGCCGCAGCTATACCTCCTCGTACTGTAGTAGAGGAAGATAGATAGTAGAAGAGATATATTGGATCTGTTTACTCAAGGCAGCATACATACCCCGTATCTAGCGGGCAAGTCAAAAAAGCATTGCATAAAAGAATTAATCAATCAAATAAACGAATAAAAAAAAAAAACACGTACTCCCCTAAAGAAAGAAAGAAAGAGAGAAAGAACGAAAGAAAGGACACAGTCTTTTAAAGTGCGTGGACGGGACGAGACTCTGGAAGGTGTTGTTTTGGCAGCAATTTTTTTTTTCCTTCCCGCTTTCTGGCGGGTGGTGGGTGACGGGACGGGACGGGACAGTCCACCTCTTCTTAATCTTCTTCCCCAACCGTCTCTTACCCATCTGCACTTCTTCACTTCTTCACCCATCCACCTGCCATCTATCGTCTACCATCCATTTCATCCGTCCATCCATCAAAACATCAAAGCCCAGACCAAAAAAAGGTACACTGGTAAGATTCAAGACAACCCACATCCACTAATAGCACATCTTGGCAGCACCTGTAGCAGCGAATCTCCTGTTGGTATAAGCAAGCATGGCTGTTTGGGAGCGTCATTTGCAATGATGATTGGTGGGTGGAAGTCATCAGCCCATCTTTGCGGAGCATTTGTAATGATGATAGTTGGATGGATGGATGGAAGTAAGTCATCTGTTCCCCGGATTCGGTGTTGGGGTTTGGATTGGAGTCTGATGGTTTCCATAGGTTCTCTGGTAGTGTGGGATTCTCAGACACCTATCCTATGAGATGGACTGTTGATGTGGGGCAATTGTTTGGCTCCGTCTATATGTGTGTGGATGAATTGTTGGCTACCAATTACTCCGTTTCCCTTGCTCGGCGAGATCCCTACTGAGCGAGACTTCCATACAAGTATTCGTTGGCTGCAGACTCGGCGGCCAGTGTTTACGTGGTAGAGGACCGACCCCAAGTCTCGGTCAGTAGGGATCTCGCTGAGCAAGGGAAACGGAGTACCTTCACTGAGCTCCCAGGAATTTTGGTGGAGATTACCTCATTAATTGTATGCAACCCAGAGGTTGAGCTCCCAGGAAGAAAAAGCGTAAGTGTCATCCCCTCCAGCAGTTGCAGGCAACCATCGGGCGTCTGTAGGGCTAACACCACATTCATGCAGGTAACGTTATGTTATGGGATGTGCTTCAATGGCCAGGGAGAAACAGCTCGAGCTCGGGAATCTGAGTTCGGCGGTTGCCAAGCGGTTTGACTTCGAGAAGAATCATAGTCGTCGTCTATGGACTCCAAGGCTGAGACGCAGTTGTTAAAACATTGGTGGGAAGGATGTGCGCGAGTGGTACATTGAGATCGATTGTTTGAGAGACGGTATCCGGACACCTGGCCTAAGACGAAGCACCTCAGTCTCGTGGTTTTGGTACTGAGACTCGGGTTTCGCTGCGCACTTTTAAATCCTGAGTGGGCAATATTTCGGCTCCATCCGTATAAACGGTGCTTCGGTCATTGGTCTCCAGAATCAACGGCTATATTGTGCAGTCGCCAATCAACCTCTCCAAGGAATTCTAATAAAGACCATCAAGACGTCAACAGGCTACGCTAAATTTATAAAATTACAAAGGCCTCGAATGGGGTTTGATGAGCACTAGCGCCATATTCATCAGAACCCCCCTTACTTGATTGAATCTTTATTTGGGGCCACAAGCGCTAATGACAACAGCCAAGCGGCTAATAATTCGGTCGGGGCCTACCGCGAACGTGGCTTCCATTCCCGACCAGAGGATAGGTTCGGAATATTTTGTGAGGTGTCAGTGTGTACCGACCGGCACGGTAATCATGAGATCTCCCTCCGTACATGCAGGATAACCGAGTGATATTCCATGCATGGACAGCATGCAACCGCAAATAATCATCTTGGCTAAAAGTTACCTACACCACCCCAAAAATACAAGTACTACGTAGATACTTAATATATATATAATAAAATCCCGGCCTGCTGGTTAAACTCAATTTCCCCCTCCATAAGCAGTGTCTCAGCATTGCTTGGAAGCTGAGAGAGAGAGAAATAGCTAGGGTCCTCTCGGGAATCGGAATTGAATTGGACCTCATTGAAACCCGTGCGCTCCTTCGGGGGCACTCTATCACAGGCAAAAAAAAAAAAAAAAAGGAAGATACTTTGCGGCTGAAAAGCAAAGGGGAAGGTGAATTAAGGGGAGAGGGGGATAAATGAATAAAAAAAAGCTTCGCTTGTGGCCCAGGGGAGGAGGAAGATCAGTGTAGTACTACGGTCCGGGTGCACTGCCACGATTGATCTTGTGGATCCGGATCTCTATCACATCAAAGCAATTTATCGGGGGGAGGAGGACATGCAGTTGAGTTGCAGAGACATGAGATTGACGGGTGTCAATCCAGAACTCGAGGTTTATGCTTATTTTTCGTTGGTCTAGGCCATTTCTCGGGGGTAGGCGGGGAGATTTGTTTTTTGTTTGTAATTGCCCCCCCCCCCCTCTCACCCCCCCCTTCTTCCCCTCCTACATACGTCCAAAGAGGGGGTTTCCGTGGCCAGGTCTCGGAGAAACAGCACGGAGTCGGACTAGAAGAGGCATCATGTACTCGAGCTAGGTACTCTACTACTGCACAGGAAGCATTGGTCATCTACTCTCGCAGGATCGACAAACACCCTGTTTTTATGATTTGCACTGGCAGTGTTGTTGTTGACGCCTCTAAGAGAGAATTGCAGTGTTAATATATCGCCGTCACCGCGTTTGAATACAGACAGGCTGACAGATATAGAGAGACAATTGAACAAACAGACAGGCGCCTCCCTGCCGATAGTTAGGGAAATAGGTATCGCCTCCCTGACATGATCCTCCACTTTCTCTCTCCACCCCCCAGCATCTGCGGCAATCACACGACTTTCCCATGCATTTTTACCTAGGGTAGAGTCAGTACCTAGAGCAGGTACTAGAGCGTCCATTGTTCCCTCTTTCTTTTTTGTTGCCAGCCTCCACAGAAAAAAAAAAGAGGCAGAAGGAAAGGTCCGCCGGCCCTTGAAGACAAGCAAGACAACCAACCCTCTGGGCATTACTTCATTTCATCCAGGCCTCACTTCTCACTCATTCTCACCTTACACACGGTCCAGAGTACCTGTCAGCCAGCCAGCTTCGTCCCCCGCCCTACCTCACCTCCAACGCTCCCGCTTCTATCCCCCGTTCGTTACCGAGATATCATCGGCCTACCTAGCTCCGCCCGCCACCTACATACTCGATTCTCGCACCCCCTTCCCCCTTCAACACGTCTCTTTGGAACATCATACACCTAACTGGGAGAGGCGGCTTATTTATTGTGTGACTTTGATTCTTCCGCATATATCCAAGAGGGACCCTTCTCCGTTTCGTTTCGTTCTGTTTCGTCGGCGCCATTTTGTTTTGTTCCCTTTTCCCTTTTTTACCCCCCCTTCCCTTTTTCCTCTTTTACTCTGCAAACTTTTGTGATTTCTGGGTCTGCCCACTCTCTTCAGTTCCAGGTCAACTGCCCAATAGATTTCGCGAATTCGCGCGTGTTTATAATTTCTTTTTCCTGTTGTAACTTCTTTCTTTCTTGTTGTCCATCGGAGTGCGCATAGGGATAGGGATATCTAAAGAAAGAAAGAAAGGACGGAAGGGAAGCAAGAAAGAAAGCTGCCATCGTCGCATCTGTCGTTGTTGTGTACTACTCCTTACATACCTGCCCACTCACTCGTTCTTCCGGTTCCCTTCCTTTTCAACTAATAGGAGAAGAGAGTGAGAGGGAGAGGAAGAAAACGGAGAGAAAGAAGGAAGAACAGGAAGGATCATAGAAAGAGGTCTACCCGTTCCGAAAACACGAAAAACGGCCCACTATCATCTCTCGCTGCCTAACAACCTACCTTGTCTACATATTACCAGCTTGACACCTATTATACTCACTCACTCACTCACTCACTCGCAACCAAAACCAGCTAACCTTACACCTAAAACTATCTTGACCTACCACACACCACCACCTACACCGACACCGTTCTCCAAAGAAATACCACGCACATTACACATACACATACATACCACCATACCACAAGTATCTATCGACACTAAACTACGACAAACCTACTGAATTACAACGTCTACCACACCTCCCATCCCCCAACAATAAATACACAAATAAGAAAGTAATAATGTCTGCAAACTCCCCCACCCTGGGTCCATCCCACGAAAACCTGCAAGAAGATGCGGCGTCCCCAATAATAGCATCCGAGATACCGGCCGAAGACACCACAGCGACAGCCCCCGAATCACAACAAGCTTCGCGGCCTAGCCATGCGCCAACTGAGACAACGGCTGTGGAAGGGAATCCTGTAACAACAGCAGACGCAACTATAGCAGCAGAAGCACTGTCAGCTAACCCGGCCGTCGCACCAACTCAACCACCTCCACCATCCTCCGTTGCCTCCCACCAACCTGTAACCACTGCTACAATAGCTCCTACAGACACCGCCGCCGCTGCTGCTGTTGTCTACACACCATTGAAAGATATGAAGACAGCATCATCGCCCATAGAGCCGACAGTGGCGTCACTGTCAATCACATTACTGCTCATCTCGGGCGTGCGCCATCAATTCGTGATGGACGAGGCGTATCTAACGCGGCACTCGGTCAAGACTGGAAAAGAGGCTCTGAAGGATCCGTTCGAGATGAGCGTATGGCAACTGAAGGAGTGTATATGGAAGGATTGGAAAGAAGGTAAATGATTAACCGACTTCCCCTAATACTTTTTTCTCTCTCATCCGCCCCTATTACGGGAAGCTGATTGTGTGCAGAATGGGATCAAAGGCCAGCTAGTGCCATGTTCATAAGGCTTATACATTTCGGCCGCATGTTGGAAGACAAACATCCTCTCAAAGGTACACCCTAATTCTTCCCCGTATAGAGCTTCGGTTTAAACAATCTCTTCCCCCCCCTCCCCCCCCCCCCCCCCCCCCCCCCGCGGGTGGCCGCTCGGGTGCTGACTGAAGCTACAGACTGCAGGCTCAACCAAGACACCCCGAACGTCGTACATATGACCGTCCGTCCTCCAGAGGTTGGTGACGATGAAATGACGCAACGGAGCGCAAAGGGATTCGGACACAATAGGGAGAATGGCAATAGCAGTAGCTCTCCCTCATGTAGGTGTGTCATATTGTAGGGACGGGAGCTAGAAAGGATATGCGAAAAGCGCATGATCCATGGCTCATTTATTTTCATATCTGCTCGGACAACTGGGGGACCCGGACGCTCGCTCTTCACATCTCTCTCTTTCTCTCATTCGCTTTCTTTTGTCCTATCTTGTCTGGGGCCTGGTATCGATATCTATCCGGCGTCATTGTTGTTTTATGGGAGAGCAGTAGTTGCAGTAGTCGGGGTTGGGAAAGGCAGGGACGGGCGGGGAATTGTGCATATATATCGCTTCCTTTTCTTTCTTTTTCAATTTGCAGATGTTTTTTTTTGCAATGTTTTTATTCTTTTTTTTTTCTTTGTACAAGGAGTTTATTTTTTTCTTTTCTTGTCTTGGTAACTAAGGTTAATTGCGGTACGTACGGTTCTAGCTAGTGGGGTTACTTTATCAATTCTTTTTTGCTCTCTCTTTACTCTCGCACCCACTCTACTCGTTCGGTTTCTATTTTTCCTTGCATCATGTGCGAAAGTAGTTCCTTTTCTACATACCCTCATGTTCTCGTATGGCTGCTATACCCTCCCTGGGTTCCCCTCTTTGTGTCCATTGCGTTTTTTTCGTTATCGTCCCGCGGCGCGCAGAGGATGGGTTTTTTTAAGTTGGGTTAGACATCTGAAGAGCGAATTCCAAAGGTTTAAAAAACAGATGCGACTCTTTTTTGTGGGGGATGCGCGCGCGAGTAAGGCATGTGTTTTTATGCATGTAGCAAGTGGTAGCGGGGGCGGGAGTGAGGACATGCTCTTCTCCACTTTCTGCAGCACCAGCTTGGCTGCTTATGCTGTGTGATGGCACTGATTGGTGGGGGGAGAATTATATAGTGCCTGGCTGTAGGCACTTTAGTAGCATGTAGTACCTACACTCTATCTACTTTATGTAGGTACTTTTCCGTGTATAGTGTGTAGGGCACAGATATCGCTATGCGAAACCCAGGGTAAACAAACCAATAAACAAACAGAAAGACGCGTGCCATGCGTTAAGACCCTGCTTCAATCTCACGGATTAATCCTGTTATGGAACTTACCGGGGGGTTGCGTACTGCAGCAAGCAGCAGCAACAGCATGCGATGGTTTGGTCTGGTTTGATTTGGTTTTTTGGGGTGAGAAGCTTAAGTGATGTGATACTGGGCCTGGCGTGGAAGATAGCATGGGCATGCTTCCTCCCACGTTGTGATCTGATCATTGCTTTTACTTTTGGCATCATGGGGACAGTTTTTCTTGAGATGTGAGGGGAGAGAGGGGGAGGGGGTTGTGCGCCGGTCGATAAGGAAACACCAGGCACAATCACCAAGATACCAAGAGCCCTTTACACATGTATTCTCTTGGGCACGCTATCATCTGACGGCGATTGATGATGATATCAACAAAGTTGTGTTCATTGTTCATTATTTCTCCTCCCAGTTTCTCCGCATTTCCCGAATCCTGTTTTTTTTTTCCGGTGGCCCCCAAATTGCATTGGGTAATACTGAATAAATGAGACCTAGCTGGAAATAAATCCGGGAGTTCGGCAGTATAGATGTGTAGGCAGAGTGCCCAAATGCAGGCAAGCCAGGGTCGGTCGGCATCGGTGATAGATGAAAGAAGCCGTTATTGAAGCCCTCCGAAAAAACAAAGCTTTTATATCCATCCCAAGTGTTATTATTAGTATTACTCCTCCACTTTTACCGGATCAACTATCCCAATGACCAAGTTCACAAACTCGTCAACTTCGGTGTTATCCTCCCTTAACCGTTTCAACTCTCCTACGCCTGCCTTAACTGCCCTCTCCTCGTTCCAGGGACGCCGGGTTTGTTCGAACCCTCCTCTGCCACCGCGGCCTCGTCCCCTGCCTCCTCGTCCGCGTGGGACAAAGTTCTGAGGTGGTGGTTCGAGGGTTGCTTTATGGACGCTGAGGAGATGTTGGCGAAGGCTCGGGGACGCTAGCATTTGCTGGACTTCGGGCGACGAGAGTAGTGAGGCAAATTTGCCTGTCTCTATAGGCTTTGGGGCCGGCTCTGGTTCGTCATCTTGAGCTTTCTCAGCGGCCTTTGGCGCCGCAGACGTAGGTTCGGCAAGTTTGGCCTTCTCGTGTTGGACTTTATGTGGCTTGTAGCAGACAAGGGAGCAACTGAAATCGAGAAATTAGTTTTGGACCGGTGAAGGCGAGGAGACATTGTGGGATCGGGTCGCGTACTAGGGAATCTCGCAGGATGGGCATTTATATTTCGAGGGGGCCTCGTTGCAGATTCCGCAGAGTGCCATGATTTGTCGCGGTGGTTGATTGAGGAAGGGATCTCTTTGCATAGCTGATTAGATATTCGGAAAAGCTAGCCATACTAGTTTGCCCTAGCCCTACCATAAATTAAAGGCTTGGCTGAAACACTTGAATGGGATTTGTAGGATCTGTGGTTTTGTAGTAACTGTGAATCCAAGGTAAGCGTAATAAGAATACTGATGAAACAGGGTTTATGGGATATATAAGTTATAAAGTTATTATAGCCAGGTTTCTGTTGTTTTTTATTGAAACCTTTGTCCCCTAGTTCAGAGTAGGTATCGTGTCATCTTCACTAACCTGCTTTTCGCCTTCTCCGGAGGCCTCCAGTGTCATCTTCTGGGTTAGGGGTCTCATACGGAAAGAGCGGTTCTTAGGACAGTGATAGGTGAAAACTAGAGTACATGTAATTGGGGTCTTGGATATTGGAAGCTGCTAGAAGCACTTCTTCTAAAAAAAAAACTTGGGAGCGAATGAAAGAGCTAGAAGCCCTGAGTTGTAATCATAAAAGAATAGAATCCAGGTTATGTAGATATCCTTCAATTCCTTAAGGTTGTCCCATGATATGTCACATCGTGACATGGTGGCTGGACAAGATATCTTGAGTGGTGGAACACAAGTCTTCTTTACTCAACGTTATGATAGGACAATTGCGATCATGAAATAAGGAAAGTACACTCAGCAAGATCTGATAATTGGTCTCGATAAAGTGAAGATGCAGCTGGTGCATGTTGCAGATGCGGGTAGTGTGGCAGGGCGTGGAATGTCGTGACTGGCACAGCCACAGGGCCGGTCGTTCCCCGTGGTGTGGAACAACAGGCCAACCCCCACCACCAACAGTCGCCTCAAGCATCTTCTCTCTCTCTCTCTCTCTCTCTCTCAACAACTCTCCCTCAGCTCTCATCAGATAGTCCTTCAAATACAGTTTCCTCCTGATAATATATCCCCCTTATCTCAGCTATACAGTCATTCAAGTATCGTTCAGTAGATCACAGTCATCTAAACCCATCTCCGCCGCTTCCAGCAATTCTCTCCACTCCCTCCCCCGTCATGGAATCTCCAGTGCGACGGCGGTATGAGATAGAGGAGCTTAAATCACTACAGCACTCTCCACTCGTAAAGAAACCTGATGGATTACCGCCAATGGAAGAATGGATGGGGTAAGCTTTGTCTCCCTTTTTTTTTTTGTTTGCCATCTCTTGTTGTATCTAGGGTCGTGGTGCTAACTAGCTTCACAGGCCTGCCCCCGCAGTTCGACCCCAAACCACACGCACACGCACAGATGGCGATGTTCTGGCTAACAGTACTAACCACGACGATTCTGTCAAAGGGTATTGTTGCTTTCGCTCTGAGTGCTTAGCCATATGTTGAAACCAAACTGAACTGTGGTAACTTAGTATTTCGGCAACACGCCGGCCATCTATGTTCGAATCTCGGCACGTGTCACGATCGTCAAGTATGCCTCTCATATGAAGTTGCTATCTATTTTTGTGTTATTTTGCTGATATCTTATAGTTCCAGAAGACATGATCCTCGGGCCTCCGAAAATGATGTCGTTTGCGTCATCATCCTCGGCTCGAGCAATATCCGGCAAGTTTGACCAAGATGGACTTCATGCCACCTCAATAGCATCTCCAGTATTTGCGGAAGAACGAGGGGAAAGCCCTCATTTTGAACGGTTCAAGATTGAAAGGGGGGTTCGCTCGGGCGACAAGGACAGAGGGGACAAGGATCGCGGCGGGGATCGTGTCGATATGCGGGGTCCCAACCACATCAAGAGATTTAGAGACGATGGTGAAGGTAGCGGGGAGCGAGGGAGTGGCGGCTGGACAAATGTTTCACGCCAACCGCGCAAGAGCTTTGGTGCCGAGGACGGTGACCGTTTCCGTAGGGGTGTTGAAAGAGAGAAGCGGGAAACTCCGTGGGATAAGGACCGTCCACCAAAATACGATAACTTTGGTAGAGATCGAGATCGTGAACACCGGCCAAAGTTGAAAAGAGATGAATCTAGCTGGTTGCTAGATGACAATCGTGGGGGAGACAGGGATCACTATCGTGACCGTGACCGCGATCATCACCGTGACAGTCACCGCGATGGTCACCGTTACAACAATAGTAGGGCTGAGAAGGACCCTGAATGGATGGATTCTGGGCCAGGTAATGAAGATAGGACAGGAGATTCTAAACAGGCACATTCGATGGAGGAATTTCAACGCTGGAAGGAGAGAATGAAGGCAGGCAATGCACCGCCTGAAGAGAAAAAGAAGGCAGACTTGCCTGCCGAAGAGAACCATCAAACACCACCTCCAAAAGAAGAAGTGGAAGCTAGGCCTACAAAGGAGCACGAAAGTGCAGTTATTGAAGGTATATCAGAAAGTAATCATGCAGAGAGACATCTATTAGAAACTAATACAATAAGTAGAACCGCAAACCGCCCCGGCGGTAGTAGAAAATAACGTGGACAGATTCTTCGGATTCTGGAGCACTCCTGCTACTAAAAGCGCTGAGCAGGATATAATGAACCCTATCAGGCAGGAGCCCAAAAATCCAGTGAAATCTCGCTTTGCTGCAATTTTTGCCCCACAGGACGAGGTTGCTGCGCCTCCGGTAGTTGAAGCCCATAAGCCTTCTCCAAAATTGCATGCTCCGGCAAATGGATCTACTTCCGAAGATAAAGAAGGATTCCAGCGTATTTTAAAGATACTCAACGGAGTCAATATCGGAGA